ATTTTTAATACCATTTAAGTCCATTATAACAATATAACTCCCCTGTAGATTACACTGCAGCAAAAAGCATGAATCACCTAGATTATACATTCAAACTTATTTCACCTCTTGATTTAATAGCCTAACGCTCCCCCCTCCCCCAGGTAGCGTTAGGCTATTAAATCATCAGGTAAAAAAAAATAAAATATGATCTTCAGGTGATCCGAAGATGCCAAGTCAATAATTAACCTAATGGCCACCCAAGTGAGGTGGTCGAGGAAGAGACCTGTGTAGGATCCCTCCATTGTCCCTGATAATTCTGTCTAGGGCCATTTTGAAGCCCAGTTCAGTACTGTTCGGGATTCCACAGCTTGAGTCGATAGACTGTTCCATAGGTCTGCCACCGTCTGTGTGATTCAGTATCTCCTTATATTCGTTTTGCATGATAACTTGGAGAGTTTGTAGCTGTGTCCTCTGGTGTTGGTAGTGCGCGACATCACAAAGAAATGGTCCTTTCAAAAGTTTTAATGCTTCAATGAAATATACCTTATTGTGCCTTGTCTGAGGGCCTCAGTGTACTTAGATAATCGAAATTACAGTCACGGAATCATCTTAGTAGCTCTGTGTTGCAGGTATTCTAAGTCTTTCTGGTTCCATGCCTGTATACAGCAGTATAGAATGGGACGTACGTTAGGTTTATACAGTCGAATAAACATTTTCCTATCTTTGTATTCTACGGTACGTTTTATAATTCCCAAATCTCGGTTTGCTTTTCTCACTGCTGACCACTTGTTGCGCCGTCTTCAGTGAATGATCTTTCGCAACGTCAAGATCATTCTCCTTATCAACAGTATCCAGGAAAGTGTTATTAACACAATAGTTGTGATTAGGGATGTTGTATTCTACGTGTAGGATCTTAAATTTCGTAATGCTAAATATCATTCGCTAACCCTGAGACTATTTAAACAGCACATGCAAGTCTTTCTTCATTGTTGCGACATCGTTTTGACTTATTACTTTCCCATACATCTTCGTGTCGTCCACCAACTTGACAATGTGGCTCGGTATATATTTTTCCATTCAGAATGTACTCCATGTATTACCACTCTTTGTTGCCTGTCTTTGAGCCAGTTGTTAATCTATTTCAAACGCTTGCCTGTGATGCCAAGTGTGACTTTGTCTTTGGAGAAATCCATGTACAACACATCCACTGGTGAACCTTGGTCCACGTAGTCTGTTACTGTTTCAGGGAACGTGTGTAAGTTTGTCAAACAGGATTTTCTTTCCGTGAAACCGAGTTGTGATGCGTTGATAAGACTGTGCTCGGTCAGGTGTGATGAAGGGTCAGCTAGGTCGGTAGTGGTGAAATACGTCATCAGTGTCGTGCTGAGTTTCCACGGCCAGTATTACCCGCCCACTGTTTGTCATCTTCCGCCAGGGTGTGTGAGTTACATGGCGCGTGTTTGGTCCTTGTATAAAAGTTAACGTCTCACAGTCACGAATGCTCCCCTTATTAGCCGCGTTCCTCTGTACCAGTTTATGAAGTGAATGTCGTAGCATCATGTTTTATTATTTTTCTTAAATGTCATATACACATTCCGAGTATGTGTATATATATATATATATATATATGTATGTATATATATATATATATATATATATATATATATATATATATATATATATATATATATATACAGTTTTCAAGAAAGAGCTGAATCTGACATAAAGACGCGCACGCACCCTGGAGGTGTCACGAAGGTGGAATTCTGAGGGATTGGCCCCCGGTGGTCAGCCACGGGTGTTAAGATAGAAAGCATACGAACATCTAAATGGAGGGATGAGTTGTCCCCTTATAATTGGGCCCTCCTGTGCACGATCATAGTTTTATCATAAAGCAGGATTTTATTTTATTTGTTACAATTACACTTAATTTAAACCACGGGCTGTGTAGCTGCATCCATTCTGGTTAACCCTACTTCGTCAATAATAAACCCGGGCAACGCTGGGTACCACCCTAGTATGCTAATAAGCTTTGTGTGTATAAGGCGTGACATATCCCCGCTTATCTCCAAGCACCTCGCTATGTACGAGACAACAAACGCCACTGGTTATTACCAGCCCACAGCCACAGCCTCCAGGAGCACACAGCACACACCCAGAAAATGTTTACATTACTTCAGCACTCGTGACGGCGACTCCCGACCTTACCAGCAGGAACAACAGAGGTGAGGACCGCCTGCTGTACGGTGAGGGCCCCAACGTGCTGTCCTGGGGTTATACGGCGGTGAAGTGTTCAGCATCGAGTAATATTGTGCTACTGAATGGAATCTCTCAGTTTTAATGATGACGAGCCAACACACGGGAAGGTTCACACACATCCTTGACCGCAGAAGGGTCAAGACGTACCTGGCGCTCCTCTCCAGAGCAGCCAGGTCAACTAAAGTTGGCCCATACCAACCTCCCTGAACCCTCCTCCCCACAGGAATATCAACACGTTCTCGCCAGAAGTTCAATTTCATTTAGGAAAGGAACGGAACCAGTGTTAAACAGAGGTGAACAGTGCTTAAGTCAGTGAGAACAACTCAACAGTAACAGTCGTACCCAAGTTAACCTTCACACAGTGAGGTCCCAGGTACCAGTGATAACGGCCGTGAGACCCAACAACAACCAGCGATGTGTTAATCCGTCTACGATAGGAAGGCCTAAGCCAAACCTCACTCATATAACACCATCTGTGAGGAATTACTACACCATATGTCCTCATAACACCATATGTGAGGAATTACTACACCACGTCAAGTCCTCATCCACCATCTGTGAGAATTACTACACCACGTGAGGTCCCTCATAACACCATCTGTGAGAATTACTACACCATCAGGCCCCTCATAACACCATCTGTGAGAATTACTACACCACGTGATGCCCTCATAACACCATCTGTGAGGGAGTTACTACACCACGTGAGGCCCTCATAACACCATCTGTGAGGTAATTACTACACCACGTGAGGTCCTCATAACACCATCTGTGAGGTAATTACTACACCACGTGAGGTCCTCATAACACCATCTGTGAGGAATTGCTACACCGTGAGGCCCTCATAACACCATCTGCGAGGAATTACTACACCACGTGATGTCCCTCATAACACCATCTGTGAGTAATTACTACACCACGTGAGTCCCTCATAACACCATCTGTGAGGTAATTACACACCGTGAGCCCCTCATAACACCATCTGTGAGGGAGTTACTACACCACGTGAGGCCCCTCATAACACCATCTGTGAGGTAATTACTACACCACGCCAGGTCCCTCATAACACCATCTGAGGGAACCACTACACCACGTGAGTTCCTCCTAACACCATCTGGGAGGGAGTTACTTGTTACGAACCCCGCCACCAATTGTCATGATCTACCAACCTAGCACTACGAACCACGCCATCTATTGTCCTGATCTACCTACCCAGCACCACGAGCAACGCCATCTAGGGACATAAGAACATAAGAACATAAGAATGGAGGAAACTGCAGCGGGCCTATTGGCCCATACTGGGCAGTCCCGTTTACACCCAACCCCTATTGCTCATATAAGCATCCAACCTATGTTTGAAGCAATTCAGCGTATTCGAGTTAATGATGATATTTGGTAACTTGTTCCATTCATCCACTACTCTGTTTCCAAACCAGTGTTTACCTATTTCACGCCTAAATCTAAATTTGTCTAATTTAAAACCATTGTTGAGAGTTCGAAACACGAGTATGACTCGTCTTAGTTACCACTCCGGGGTTTCCCTTCTCCATATCCTGGTTGTTGCTTCACCTCCTCAAAGTCTTCTTTGTTAGCTCCAATTCGAGGAAGGCAGTTCACTCTGGGAAGTGACCACAGGACCACCTATCCTGCAAACCTACGGCACAGTGACTACCTACCGTCTTCTACAATACTCAGCCTTGCTCGTCAGCCATCTCAGCTCCGCATAAGTATTTGTAATCTTATATTGCCTCCCTCACGTCCACTTGCTTCAAATTATTGTATGTTGTATAAATATGTATATACTGTTAATGTGTAGGTTAAGTATGGTTAAGGGTAAATTATAGAACGCTGAATATTTTGTTTGAGGATTTATGGTACTTTATTATACACAACAAAAACTCGCATCCTTTGTCTACCCTTTTATAGTCCGATTGTCTTTGTTTGTTTGTTTTTTTACCTGTTGGGATCTGGGTAGACTTTTAACTATATTCTAAATCCCCAACTCGTAACATACTACACTATGAGTTTGCTGTTCAACACCTACATTAATCTGTATGTTCACTGTATGTTCCTTTACCTTTCTCTAATGAAGGCTTTTGTTAAACCACCAATGTATGTAATAAGTCATTTATGTATATTTTCAGCCTTCTGGCTGCAGAATTTTTTCAATAAACCGTTAATTATTATTATTAGGTAGGTCACACGTCAGTAAAAGCGTTACAGGGTACTTTAAAATATGTAACACCGTGTTTCACCTTCTGGACTGAATGAGGGCACAGCTCACACCTGGAGGCGCAGCGTGAAATGTAGGCGTATCACAACGTAGGTAAATAAACCTCAAATGTAATCAAGAAACCACATTAAGAAGTCAGAAGCACTCTCTTGTGTAATGTGTGTGTGGGGGAGTCTCAAATACAGTGGATGTTTGATCATGGCGTCGTCAGAGGGTACTTATACGTGTTGGCCAACGGTCACTTGATACAACCCTTTAAACGCTCTACTTCCAGGTCTGCCTCACCTCACCCCCCACCCTACCTCACCTCAGCTTCCTCATACTAATTCCTCTAGTCTAATATCCTTTTTTTTCTCTCTCTCTTTGCTTTCCTGGGCAGCTCTGATACTTAAAAATAAATAATTTATTTAATGGGGCGTGCTTGGTCAAACATCAGGAAAAGAAAATGATACACTTCCTGGATGTTTCATCTTATTAAGAATATCATATGTATAAAATCGATTACTACGAGGCATCCGTTACTCACCAGTACAGTGTTAAAGCACCAGGTGAGACACAGGGCAACCCAGGACCAGCCTCTCACCAGCAAGTACACGTCCTCACCACATACAAGTGAACACCAGCACGAGCACGAACACCACCATCACTCACCACTGTCACCACTACACTAAGCTCAACCCTGCTACCCCACGCGGTTTCCCCCAGGCGACGCTCTATCCCTCCCTCTCCCCCCTCCCCGTTCTCCACCCCTACCGCAACCCGCCGCCTCCCTTCCTCCACCCCATCGATCCTTTACCCCTCCCCGAACTTATCGCTGACGTTGTCTATCACCTGTTTATCGATATTCATGACTATAAACAATTGTTGGAACAAAGGCGGCACACAACATAGTACCGGTAAAGAGAATGACGCACTAATTGACGTTCTAATTCACAGTCCATGAATAAAATAAAAAAAGGTGTAAATATTGAGGACACAGAGATGACCATCACCAACATGGCTTTGTTGCAATTGATTTTATTATCGTCGATTGTACAAAAGGATAACATAATTGTTACAAGTCTGTTTGTCTCTCTAACGTGTGATGTGCTTAGAGTTTCATATTTTTCGTTCCTACTCCACAAAAACACATTATCGAATGCCAGTCTTCACGGTCATGTCGTTTAAAATTTGAATATAATCGTCCTAAAATTCGTCGTTTCAGTTCTTGCCAGACAGAGTCATTACAGTTTTGAGTGTGATGTTTGTCCAGCTAAGACTTAACCGTCACCAGGCTCCAGGTAACATCACACACTCCCGGAACACTACCTGTGTCACCTAGCTCACCCTCCGCTAAATTTCTCCACAAATCCAACTGAAACTCGTGAGGAAGATACAGTAGGTTGTGAGGTACAGTACTATGACATGTCTCACTCTTAATATTATAAACAGTTAAGTGGCCAAATTCAAAGTAGGAGTATCAGTTATAATATACACAATGAAATTAATAAGTTAGATGAAAAACGTTGAATCGCACTTGAAAGATAAAACATACAAAAGCCAAACTGGCTTCTCGCCCACTGGGGGGAAAGAGAACTCCCCTCCCGACCGTCCCAATCACTGGCTGGTGGGCGGGGTCTGGGGCCTGAACCCTCCCCATAGTGTTCATACTCCCCTACCTGGCTAATTAACAAACCTGGTCCGGAAAGAGTGAAGTAATTATTCCACAACAGGGCGAGGGAAAGGCGTGTTATGTTTTGTGTTCCATCAGTCCGCGTCAGCAACCTGTGAACTCTTGTATGCTATCTGGTGCAAGATGAAGCAAACGTGAAGTTGGGCGCCACTTCCTGAGCCAAATCCTCATATGTCGTTCTGACCCAGTAATGATCCCCCAGCCCCGCCCTCCCTCCTCCACCACCTCCTTCCGCCCCCCTCTCCTCACTCTAAAGTTATTGACGTGGAGGGTACCGCGGCTATAGCTGTCATGACGGCCTCTTTTCCCACAACACAACACAACCACCACTGTGGTCGTCGTCCTCGTCATTAATCTTTACAAATATTTCAGAGAAGAGAGAGATAAACCAGGGATCACGGACACTGCTCGTACTGTTTACTATTAATCTCTCAACATATCAACAATCATCAAACTACTTCATTAATTTTCTCACTTGATGGATCAGTTGGACTCCTCTCTGGGTGGTGGACAGTTGATGACGTCTGCCTCCTGGCCTCACACACACACACACACACACACACACACAATAGGTCTGTATCACCACCACCGCCGCCATCACTCACCTGAAACAAATAAACCACAATTAGTACACTTCACCTGTAATACTCCAAAGGCTGCTGACTCAAGGGGTCCTTCCTTTTTATATAATATTTATAGTGGTATAACATTATTATGCTAAAATACAGTAAGACATTTCATATAATATGTATGTACGACAATATTTCCTGTTGGTGTGACACTGTCTGTGAGCACCACAGTCACGAGTGCATGGGAGCACCACAGTCACGGGTGCATGGGAGCACTACAGTCACGGGTGCATGGGAGCACCACAGTCACGGGTGCATGGGAGCACCACAGTCACGGGTGCATGGGAGCACAACAGTCATGGGTGTCTGGGAGCACCACAGTCACGGGTGTCTGGAAGCACTCCATTATGTACAGGGGACCAGCACACCACACTAGGCAGACCACCATAACCTTAAGCCGCTCGCCTCACTTTAAAAAGGTGATATAGTTTTATAGGGTAATATTATTTCTTGGAAAAATGATATTGATTATTAAAGTTAGTGAGATACCTGGTGAACGCCCTCGTAAAATTTAGATGTTACAAAGCCTTAAGACGTGAAGAATGTTGCCGGGAAGCATAACATATTATGTGTTAGTGTTGCAGAAGCTGAGGTTTGTTCCATCTACCATACAGTTTATATTCCTTGCTTTTCTTCAACAATATCTCATCAACCGGGATAGACTCAGAGATAAATTTGCTATTACATTTCTCGAGACGTGTTTTATGATCTATAATATTTTACTGCCAGAGTCTTTACTGTCCCCGAACTCTGATTTGAACCATCTAATATAATCTAATAATAATGGTGAAAGCATATCGTGTCTCTCTTCATGAGTATCCTATTAAAAATTGTACTGAAAAAAGTGAGTTTTAGCTTCATATAAATATGTTTTAATTGTGTAAGGTCACACATTAATATTACGAGGGCGAGTAAAATATTTTTATGACCTGAGATATAATGAAATGTTTATGTAAAAAATTCTTGATGATCTTAATATGTAAATAATTCCTTCCTAAAAGTATTAATAATAAACAATGTAATAATTCAAAGTTTATAAGATCTTAAACTCGACGGATGAAACACACACACACACACACACACACACACACACACACACACACACATGTATACAAGTCTGTGTAAAACAATTCCCAAAAATATGATCAAAGAAGCGGAAAAAGTTCACAGCGACAAAAATTCAAATAACTATTACATAAAAGTGAAGACTTGACGATAAAACATTTGAGAGTCAAGAAGGTTTAACAGGGGAAATATATTTCATGAATGATATGATGTCAAGTTGTTATTTTTTTTACTCCAAGTCTTCCCGATACATAAAGTTGTATAAAAACATTATGAGTATTGGCAATAGTTAAGAGTTGGAAGTCATTCTCTTACTGTATAAAATGCTAAGAGGAAAAACACATTAAAAAAAAAGTTTAGTTTCACAGTCAACTTCCACACTTGTATTATAATTTTGAGCTCATCTGAAGATTTCCCTAGCTTATTTGATTTACCACCCGAACGCTAACCTAACCTAACCCCCCAGGCAGCGTTGGGATGGTTAATCAACATGTAAAATAAGCTGGGGACTCATCTTCAGGTGATCTACCATTTCTATATTTTCATTCTGACACTGATATTAAATAGGAAGTCATGATAGAGGCTGATGTAAGGAAGAACAAACGTGGTGCTTGTGGGGTAAAGAATAGTGTGTGTGTGTGTGTGTGATGATGTAATAATAATAATAATAATAATAATAATTAACGGTTTATTGAAAAAGTTCTGCAGCTCGAAGGCTTATAATATACATTGGGCAAAATTTACTTATTACATACAAAGACATGGGGTAGGTGGGTCGTTTAACAAAAGCTTTCATGGCTAAAAGAAGAAGGAACATGAATTGAGGGGAGCTGGTGGTAGAGCGGTACCGTTCTTGCCTCGCAAGCAAGATGTCACGGGTTCGATTCTCGGGCCGGCGGAAGTTGTTTGGACACTCTTCCTAGTCCCCTTCGTCCCTGTTCACCTAGCAGCAAAGTAGGTACCTGCTGTAAGTCGAAAGTTGCGAATTCGTATTCAGGGACAAGTTGTTGGAACTTCCAATAACTTGCTGAGACATATACCATTGACTCTTCAGGCTTCTACGACCTTAACTCATGAGACATAAGGCAAGCATGAACTTAGCATGCTTCCCTGTTGGGCGCTGTAAACGCTTTTGCACTTCACCTTACACAAGGATGTAGGGGGCTGCCCAATAAATGAAAAAAAACAAACATGAATTGAACATACAAATTATTATAGTTTACAGTTGATGGCCCGGGCCTGGGCTGGTCATTGAGACACCAGGTGGTGTGGTATTCACGTGGTGTGGATATGAAGGACCTCACGTGTTATGGAGACATCGGGTGGTGTGGTGCTCACGTGGCGTAGTAACTCGTCCTCTGGTGTTGATATGAAGGACCTCAAGTGGTCATTGAGACATCGGGTGGTGTTCACGTGGTGTAGTAACGCGTCCTCGGGTGTTGATGTGAAGGACCTTACGTGTGGTGGTGTCACAGTACCTCACTCTGCTGGGTGGTGTTGTGTTATCTCGTAGTCAGGTGCATAGCCGGCCCTCTGTTGTTCCCAGGGTGGACAGATTAACACCGTCTGGTCAGAGGATGGTTCCCAGCGGTGCTTATCTAGGTGGTCGGTCACGGCATTCACTGGTACTGTCTAGTGCTGAATTCACTAGCTTAAACACTGTTCATCAATGTTCAACACTGATCCCACTTCTTTCCGAAACAAAATTGTCACTTTTGATTATATTGATATCCCGGTGGTGAGAATGGGTCGGGGAGAGGGACTTCAGGAATGGGCCGATATGGCCAAGGGGGGCCTCAGTAGGAGCAGCGCCTGAATAGGTCTCGATCCTACGGTGGTCAAGGATGTAGTGTGTGTGTGTGAATCCCAACAGGGAATTTATCTTTGGTACAAACGACGTGGAATGTGAGATCTTTGTAAATAATCAGGGGTATGTAAACCCTCCCTCCCTCACGAGTAATAAACCACATACAAGGTTTACTCCCCCATCCCACCCTCTCCACCCCCTCTCCATCCTCTGCCTCCCTCTCTATATGTCTATCCAGTTACTGTGTAGGAAGCAGCACTTCTCTCTCTGTCGTTATTATTTTGTCTCTCCTTTTCTTATTTTGTGGCAAGGTCGAATATGACCCTAGCAGGAGAGGTCATGAGACAGGGTAGATCAGCAGCAGCAGCAGCAGTAGGTCGGGTCGGGTGGAGCTCCCACAACCTGCACAACCGGCGTCCACCACATAGCTGGGCCGGCTCCACCAGACGGACGGGACGGGAGGGTGCGCCTGGGAACCCCTCCCGCGTCTTGGGTTTCA